TCAAATAAATAAATAAAATCTTTAAAAAATAAAAAAATAAAAATAAAAAAATAAAATAAAATAAAAATAAAAAAATAAAAAATAAAAACATTACACTAAGTGAAGGAGCCGGTCATAAAAGACCATATATTGTACGATTCCATTTAAATGAAATGTCCTGAGGAGACAAATTTATAAAGAAAGAAAGTAGATTAGCAGTTGCCTAGGGCTGGGATAAATGGGACGTGGCTTCACTAATAGGTATGGGTTTCTTTGTGTGATGAATGATGAAAATTGACGGTGGTAATGGCTGTCAGCTTTGGGAATATACTAAAAATCAGTGAATTGTACACATTAAGTAGGTGAAGCGTATGGTATGTGAATATCTCAATAAAGCTGTTAAAAAATTTGCGGGGGGGGGAAGAAGGGCTAAGGGAGAACTGCCAGCAGGCTCCACACCCAGTGGGGAGCCCGACACAGGGCTCCATCTCAAGACCCTGAGATCATGACCTGAGCCAAAATCAAGGGTCAGATGCTTAACTGACTGAGCCACCCAGGCGCCCCAAGCTATTAAAAACGTATCAGCTAATTTTCATTCCTTTTTAGGATATTTACTTAAAGTTATGCTAGACTCAACTATAGTAAAAACTTGATGTAATGCATCTTGAAACCATGCTTAGTTGACTACATTACAGGGATTCAACTCTCTAAAGGAAACAAAGTCTCATAATATAATGACAACTAAACTTTTGTGAGGCTGAGTTCAAGGTTAAACTTGTAAATAATGACATGTCTCCTAATATTGCTCTACTTCTTTTTCCGGCACTAGCTTTTGGATATACAAAAAATTACTACAAATTAAACTATATAAAGAGGCATAAGAGTAAATAAATTCACCTTAATATATTTCTTTTAAAAAGTGCTGTGAGAGCACCTATCTATAAAAAAAAAACTTATTTCTGGTCTGGAATTGAATATCATGTTTTATCTATCATTTCGCATTTGAAAGGCTATTCTGTTATTAGAAAAGTACCCATCTGTAAAATTTTGAAACTTCATTTACTTAGGATCTTAGAATTTCACAGTAATGGAAGAACTACCATGCCCATGTCTAGACACCTATGCATGGACTCTCTGCATTGATTGTTCTGACATAGCGAATGAACTTGGGAGCGACAGGACGGAGACATCTTTAGGCAGCTTTACTCCAGCTAAAGATGATGATGTTGAACTGTGGCACTGGAGATGGAGAGAAACAGATTAACCAGAGAGATCTCAGGAAGATGCGTTCACTTGGACCTGGTGATGGGGTGTGTACTGAGAGAGGACAGGCTTCAGCGAACTCTCAGGGAACAGTGAGAAGAGCTCCCAGGCCATCCTAAAGCTTCCCATTCCAGGTCCTTCCAGGTCTAGAAAGAATTCTGCCCTCCTGGGAATCCTTCCACCCAGCTTAAAATTCTTCTGCCCACCCACACTTATGTTCTTTTAATTTAACAACAAAACTCAAAGTACAAATAAAAATGTACGTCTTACATAAAAAAAAAAACTATATAGATACAGAGGTAATCACCAAACTTTAACCAAGTTTAGACCATACCATCTCTGTTCAGGAATCTAAGGAATTCATAGCTCAGAAAGGAATTTTATAGATATATTTGGATGAACATCATCATTATACAGTTGAGAAAACTAAAGTACAGAATGGTTAAGTCTCACCAAGTGACGAAAACCAGAAGTAAGATTTGAATGTAGGTTTTGCAACTCCTAGTTCAGTTTTCTTACACTTTTAAACTCATTTTATTTAAGATATATAAAATAATTTTAAAGCTAATCTATATAAAGACTATCCCTGAGTTTTATAAATTATATATTTCAAACGCATTAGGGGACAGTAATTCTACACATATCTGCTCACCGGATAATAAATACCGAATAACTTTAAATAATATAATCACACCTAGGGAAAATGAAATAAGGTCATGGAAAGAAGGAATAAAAGGAGCTATGATTGACCCATTTCATATGCAACATGTTTCCTAAAAACATCAGAAGAACATATTAGAGAGGCACATATTGCTCTTGAATTATAGTCATTAGATAAATCAATTTATATACAAATAGCACTACAAACATCACCTGTTTATCTTAGATCTTTTAAGAAAAGGCTCTCATATCTCTTTTCAAAATTTATTTTAATTTTCTTTAAGCAAACTAAGGAAAAGCAAAGACGAAGGGATCAGTTAAATGGAAAGCCTAATTATGAGCTACATTAAAAACTTATCAAATCACTTTATTGAATAAAGAAGGATAAATGTGTATCAACTGGAAAGTTTCATCTTTTACTCCAAATTAAAAAAATAAATAAAAAAACAGGATATGGAGAGATCGACTATATTTCTAAGCAGCCAAAGAAGCAGAAGATGAGGAGACAGTCCCCTTAGTTCTCTTGAGCCTCATGCAAAGACTGCCGGCTTAGGTGAGGTGGTGTTACACTACAGAGTCCCAGCCTCGGATATGCCAGAACTCTCCAGTCCCACATGTTCCTGATGGAAAATAACCAGAGGCTGCCTTTTCCCAAGGGTGCCCTGTGTGATTCAGGAAAAAAAGTCCATAGCTCCAAACTTTAACTGCCAAACTATATACCAAATGAGAAATACCCCGGGGGGCGGGGGGAGGGGGAGGAAAAGAAAAAGAAGAAAGAAATACTCTGAATTACTTTGTAACCAAAGTGATACAGACAATGAAAGCTAGATGTCTTATTCAACACTGATATAAAATATATATCAATATATGTTAACACATATTATCCACTTACTGAGTTGGAAAGATCCTGTAAAGAATTTAAAACTGGACCAGCACCTCACTCTCTCTCTCAAAAAAAAAAAGTCGTGAGATCGAGCCCTGCATTGGGCTCCACACTAAGCGTGCAGTCGGCTTGAGATTCTCTCTTGCCCTCTTCCTCTGCCCTTCCCCTGCTCTCTCTCTCTCAAATAAAAAATAAAATAAAATAAAAACTATACCAGCACAAAAACTCACAGATGAGAGATCAAAGCCCCAGTGATAACAGAAGGAAATTTTTAGGGCTGATACTGGTAGAAAATGGTCTAATTTATAAAGTAAGACTATATATATTTAAAAGATCGCATGTGAAAACATGTACAAATAACTTCAATTTCAGCACATTTATTATAGCAAATTACTGGGAATCGCCATAAAGAAGTGGCTGAATAATCAGCACACCCATGCGAGCAAATACTGGAAAGGTGTCATGCACGTCACACGCCACACAGCTGGATCTCCATGTGCTGCTGGAGAAGGAGCTGCAGAGTACATCAAGAGAAGTAAGGCAAGATGCAGCACAGTACGGAGTATGAGATGAGAAGATGGTTTACTTTTAGGTAAAGAATAGTATAAAAAATAACTTTTAAAAATACCTTGTGCTATCTTCTTAGTTGTGCCTCTTTTGGCTCTCGGGCTTCTTTTCCCAGGTATTTTTTTCTCCTTTCCCATGAGGGCCAGCCCATCCTGGGGGCTTTCACAAGAAGTGTTTTCCAAGCTCTCGCACACGGCCACCTCACTGCTGGGCGGGCAGTTTTCGTTATTGTTGAGACTGTCCTGGGCAAGCACATCAGGTTGGCCCATGGCGCTGGCACCACTGCTCAGACACGCATGCCCGTCCCCATCCAGCTGATTTTCATTTTCATCCGAGGCAGAAGGCAAGCGTGTCACTATGCTTCCCACGCCGTCACCGGGATGACACCCATCTTGTGACTCTATCTGCAGGTTACCTGTAGGAGTTCCGCTGTCATCCATCAGAGCATCTTTTGTGGAACCATTTAAGTTTCAATCAAGTCCGTCCATGTCTACAAAGACAAAAAGAAAAAAGCTACTTCACCTCTGGATTCGCAGCCATCTCTGAATTTCCTCTTCTCCTGGATTGTCTTACTGTAAGTAGGGAAAGGACGGAAATGACAGAGGTTCATTCCTTCTACTTCTTCCCCACTCACAACCCCACCCAACCTCACCGGGTTCTGGCTTGAATACAACGGTTCTCAACCCCGGCTGCGTGTTTCTTACCTGGAAAGCTTGTCCAGCATGGAGCCCTGGGACTCATCTGTTTTTTTAAGTTCTCTAAGTTATTTTACTGTGTACCATGGGACCACGGCCTTAACGAAAGAAATTACTGGTTAAATGAGGTTATCTGCTAAAATCAATCACTCATGTTATCGCTGGATGCTTACCAGACAAATGAAAGTTGTATAAGTCCTTTGGCTGAACAGGAGAAATATTTGCAAACACATTTACAGATATTTTAAAAATAAATGGAAAAAAGGTATGTGGAAAATTCAGGTAGTATATGGTAATACTCTATTCTCATTACATCATTTACTTCTTAAAAATATGCCCTGGAAAGTACCTTAGAATTGTCAGCAAATTCCTTTTATACAATTAAAAAAAAAAAAAAAAAAAAAAAGAGGGCCATTATTAACTCTAGACTACTTTAGACTTAGAAAATCTAAATCTGATCCAAGGATCCTTCTAACATTGTAAGGATATAGAAAATAGATTCTAAGTCTTTTACCAGACATGTTTTGTCCCCCCTTATCATCCAAAAGTATATTACATTTTAAGGAAAATGATGCCAGCAAGACTTTGAAATTTTTTGCTTGCCAATTGTTATTTTGGGTTTGAGTCAAATATGATATTCCAGAAATCTGAGAAAAATTTTACTGACTTTCTAAATTCTTTAATATAAATGTTTATTTGGTGTTTAGAAACATGTAAATAAAGTACAATTCTTTTAAAACATGAAAATGAAGTACAAAATAAGACATTAGCCCTGCACTGATTGTATCATATGTTTTCAACATATTTTGCAACTGGAATATTTTATTTGATTCAGAATACAAGTACTGGTTGGCAAACATAAAAATATCTAAATCTGGATGGTATCATTTTCCTTATACCACATATCTATATTAACTTAGGTTTAGCCCTAAAATAAATTCTAGAGTATAATTTTTAATTTAAAAAGTTATTATTTTAATGAACTGTCTTTGAGATTACTATCATGAAAGAACCCAAGCTCGAATGACTTATAAAATGTATGTGGGTAAAACAAAGATCAATAGAACAAAATAGGGAGCCCAGAAATAAACCCACAATGATATGGTTAATTGATCTATGACAAAGGAGGCAAGAATATACAATGGGGAAAAGGCAATCTCTTCAATAAACAATGGGGAAAACTGAACAGTCACATGTTAAAGAAGGAAACTGCACAACTTTCTCACACCAAATATACACAAAAATAAACTCTAAATGGATTAAAAAGACCTAAATGTGAGACCTGAAGGCATAAAACTCCTAGAAGAAAACATAGCCAGTACAACTCTTGGACATTGGCCTTAGCATCTCCTTTCTAGATATATCTCCACAGATGAGGGAAACAAAAGCAAAATAAACTGTTGGGACTACATCAAAATAAAAAGCTTTTGCAAGTGAAGGAAACCAACAAAATAACACGGCAACCTACAGAATGGGAGAGGATATATGCAAACGCCATATCCAATAAGGGATTAGTATCCAAAATATATAAAGAACTTACACAACTCAAGACCAAAAAGCCAAATAATCCGATTTAAAAATGGGCAGAGTACCTGAATAGACACTGTGCCAAAAACAAAACCAAACAAAAAACAAAAAACACACAGATGGCCAACAAAACATGAAAGGATGCTCAGTATCACTCAACAAGAGAGAAATGCAAATCAAAACCACAATCAGGTATCACTTCACACCAGTCAGAATGGCTAGGATCAGAAAGACAAGATATAACAAGTGCTGGCAAGAATGTGGAGAAAAGGGGAACCCTTGTGCACTGCTGGTAGGAATGCAAACTGGTGCAGCCAGTCTGGAAAACAGTATGGAGGTTCCTCAAGACATTAAAAATAGAAATACCAGATGATGTAGCAATTCCACTGCTAGGTATTTACCCAAAGAAAACAAAAACACTAATTTGAAAAGATATACACTGCCAATATCACAGCATTGTTTACAATAGCCAAGTATGGAAGCAACCTAAGTATCCATTGATCAATGAATGGATAAAGAATATGTGGTGTATATACACAATGTAATAATACTCGGCCACAAAAAAGAATGAAATCTTGCCATCTGTGACAACATGGATGGACCTAGAGAATATTATGCTAAGTACGATGAGTCCGATTAAGACCAGTATGATATGATTTGACTTATATGCGTAGTCTACAAACCAAACCAACCAACCAACCAACCAACCAACAACAACAACATAAAACAGAATCATAAATACAGAGAACAAATTGTTGGTTGCCAGAAGGGAGGGCTTGGGGGTAGGGGCAAAAATGGTGCAGGTGATTAAGAGGTGCAAACTTTCAGTTATAAGTAAGTGACAGGAATGAAAAGTGCAGCATAGGGAATATAGTGAATAATACTGTAATAACCTTGTGGTGACAGATGGTAATTATACTTACCATGGTGAGCCCAGCAATAACATACAGAACTGTAGACCATTATGTTGTATACCTGAAGATAATGTAACATTTTATGTCAACTAAACTTCAATAAATCAGTAACCAAGTAAATAAATAAAGTGCATGTAGAAACTACCCAAATGTCCACTGACAGATGAATAGATAAACAAGGTGCAGTATATTCATGCCAGGGAATATTACCTAGCCATAGGAAGGAATGAAGTTCTGATACATGGAAAAATATGGATGCACCTTGGGCAACCCTCTTGGGTCCCCTCCCTCCTCCGGAGCTTTGTACTATCACTTTGCTATCGCTCAATAAACCTTGCTAAAAAAAAGAAAAAGAGGGGCACCTGGGTGGCTCAGTTGTTAAGTGTGGAGTCCTGGGATCGAGCCCCACCATCAGGCTCCCTGCTCTGCGGGAAGCCTGCTTCTCCCTCTCTCACTCCCCCTGCTTGTGTTCCCTCTCTTGCTGTCTCTCTCTCTGTCAAATAAATAAATAAAATCTTAAAAAAAACAAAGAAAAAGAAAATATGGATGAACCTTGACAGCATTATACTAAGTGAAGTTAGCCTGTACGACTCCACTTGCGTGAAATTTCTACAATGGGCAAATTCGTGAAGACAGAAAACAGACTAGAGGGGCAGAGGGCAGGAGAGACAAGGGAGTTCTGTGTAATGGTTGCAGAGTTTAGCTCAGGGTGATGGAAAAGGTTTGGAAATGCAGTGGTAATGGGTGCGCAGAGCACTGGTGTCACTAATGCCACCACATCTTAGAGTGAAAACCAGTTAAAATGGCACATGGTATGTATACTTGATCACAGCAGTGAAAAGAAATTCAGGTGGCTATGCAGGGAAAATGTCAGTCCTTAAAACTAGGAACAGCCTCGGCTGTCTTCTAAATAATCAAGTTATGTATTTTTTTAAGATTTTATTTATTTGAGAGAGACAGAGTGCACGAGCAGGGGGAGGGGCAAAGGGAGAGGGATAAGCAGACTCCCTGCTGAGCAAGGAGCTCGATGTGGGGCTCAATCCCAGGACCCTGGGATCATGATCCGAGCCAAAGGCAGACACTTCACTGACTGAGCCACCCAGGCACCCCCTTACTTCCATTTCTAAATGAATATGGACCACCTATGATTCTGAGGCCATACTCTTCATCATTATGCTCTATGGACAAAGCAGAGAAAGTAACTGAAAGAGTACTTCACTCCAGCTGTGGTACACCTCAATGAAGAAACTCCACCTACAGCAGAGGACACATGTCTAACAACCAAGAAGTTCAAATTCCTGGAAGTACTTCTCTCTTTTCCTGGGAATTGCTGGATCCACACCAAATACCATTTCCTATATGGCCCACCTTCTTCCGTTGAGAACTCTTTTGGGCCTCAAGACATTTTGCCTCTTACCGTCTTGTGATGATGGCGTAATTTAATTCTCAAAAGGTACTTTCTGACACTAACTCTTACTCTAAGTTTTTCCAAGGTGTGAATGTCCTAAAATTATTCTTACAGGATACCTACCAATTATTCAAGGCCTGGCTCCAAAGCCATTCCAGTGTGCCTCCATGAGGTCTCCATTCCAAAGACCCAGGCATAATGCACTGCTCGTTAGCACTCTGTACCACACACGGTCCTTCCCAAATACTGCTCTGCACTGTGTATTTCTGCATATGTGCCTTATTAGATGTAAGCCACTTGAATACCCATAACCCAGCCACAGAGAATTTTTATTCTTCGCAATATCTAGCCCCGGGCCTTGTATTTAGGAGGTACAATGACTGCATAGCACTGACTTGGGCATATTTTGCCTTTTAAAAGCATGGTAGTGAGTGCTGCTCAAGTTTCCAACCTCCTGTGTGAAAACAGCTTTCCAAATATGTACACTGTGCAAAAGTTATTTGACAAGTTGAATCTGTACAGCTGAGAATTTCAAGCAAACATATCCAAGTCAGGCTTAGACAAAATTTGAAAAACCACAAAGTTTTGTGGAAGAAGCTTTAAATAAACCAATAATTTAGAGTAACAGACTAACAAAAAGAAATCGACATTTTGTCAAAAACATTCTCGATCCCAGGTATAATCTGAATTGATCTTTTGAAACATCTTAATGGATATCTGCTGAGATTAAACATTAGGTGTCACTCAAACAACTTAATCTACAGGGATGGTTAAATAGGTATTACTTAAAATCCTTTAAGGAGGGGCGCCTGGGTGGCTCAGTCAGTTAAGCATCGGACCCTTGACTTCGGCTCAGGTCTTGATCTCAGTCTCATTTGTTGGGCTTGCACCGGGCA